AAAGAAAGAAAGAAAGAAAGAAAGAAAGAATGGGGATGAGCCTCAGTGGTTAAGCACCCCTGGTTTCAATCCCTAATACTACTACTACTACTAATGATAATAATGAGTTTTCTGAGGAAGGGATTCAATTAGGATTGCAGAAAGTAATTCAATTAGGATTCCCCTTTATTCAGCATTCCAAAGAGAATAAGAGCCTCCTCACTGAGGCTAGGAAGAACATAGAAGCAGTAAGATAGCCCTGATTATTATTATGATTAAATAAAAGCAAAATGAAAGCTGACATTTCTCTATTTTACATTTAAGAACTAAATAGCTACCAATGAATAAAGATAAAGGTCTAGTGGGTGTTATAAGTCTTATATTAAAAATAAAATTACCCTCATTGATAGGTGAAATTGATCTGGCATTTCACAGAAGAAGATAAATGGATTTTTAAAAATGTTTTTCTCTTCTTTATATAGGACACTTCAACTATTTATATAATTTAAAAGTTATTTCTCATGGAAATAGAATCAATTTTCTATATGCCTGAAGCACATTAATGAGTATTTTGAACTTCTTTCCCTCCAGCCAAGTGATAAGTCAAAGCAAAGAACCTCTGAAAGCTATTACATTGTAGAAAATAGTTTTCTCTTTGAGGAAAAAAAGTATGAACTGCTGCTAAATTTAACAGAGGCAATACCAAGTTAGTGTGGCTGATCTGTGCATAGGAGCAAGGTTTTCGTGGTGGTCAGCTAATGACACAGAAAGTTCCTATTACAAGTTCCTGGTACATTTTAATTATGAATATTCAAATCTGTTTTCTCAATTTGGTGTCAGCCAGGCCTCCCATAATGCTTTCCACCTCAACTTCCTTGAAGTTTTCATTTTGCTTTGAGTTGCACTCTCAAAATGATATTACAAAAACAAGATAATGTTGAATATGCTCTACCTAATAAATATGATCTGGACATTCCAACATCACTTCACTTGTATCAGAATAAGGATGCTTAAGGCAAATTTGCCACCATTTGGGCATCAGGGCTTCTGAGTAAGAGTTATATGTACTTGCAAGTTTATAATAGTTTAAAAAATTAAATAAATTACGGATAATTATATTCGATCATAGTTTTCAACGATAAACCTAAATAGTTCTAAACCAAGATTTCTATCTTCTTATATTTCACATTTACTCTACTTCTTACAGTATATTATGCATTTAAGTTTTCTTCTTCCTGATGATGAACTACATCATGCTAGTACCTCAGGAATCCCCTCTCCAAGTCTTAGCAGCCAGCCACTTGCTGCCCAGTGTTATAGCTGGTCTTGACTAACAGCTTATAACCTTGAAATTATTCTCCCTTTTGGTTTTAGTAGCAAAGAGATGGTAACCATCTAGTTGTGAAGAAAAACACCCAAACCAAAAGCAAGCCTAATGACACTCTAAGTTGACACGTAAAACTATGTATTTATTATATATGATGTTTTGAAGTACACACACACACACACACACACACACACACACACACACACACACACACATATCCTGGGAAAGTTAAATCTAGCTAAATGTTTTGTCCCACACGAAGCTTACCAATTTTCCATATAAAATTACTATGAGGTATCTCATCAAAATCCTGCACTTGGGTTTATTGTCCAATCATCTTTTAGTGGCCAGTCATAGAATCCTGGAAGGCATCTCTTCTTACCTTCCTGCAGGGCTAGAGCCACTGTCTTCGCTTTCCCATTGGTCATTTTTACTTCTTGGAACTGGGGGCTGCAGCATTTCAGCAGCTAGTGGATCAGCATCGTTTTCTTCTCTACCAATCCATTCTCCGATCACTCGGGGCCTCAGGAGAGAAGAATTGAAAGCCACTGTTTCCTGAAGAGAAGAAAAGAATGTGCTGCTTTAGATGGCTTTTTCTTGTTCACGGACAACAGGAAAATAACCCTGCCTAGAGGGTTGGCTACTCACTCAAATCAAAATGTTCTTTTCTTTCTTCTGAATTGACATAAAACTTCAGTTCTCCTCATCTCTACTCAACTGCTTGTTCTGTGTGGTTTATGCCAATTCCTGAGAATCACTGTGATACAGGATTTAGTAATAAAACCTTGGATTTGGATTTGGAAGGCTACACATGTGTTCTCAGACGAGAATTAGGACCAGCATTCCTGGTAGAAGGAGGAGGTTGCTTTAGGGCCCACAGATTGAGAGCTTGGTGTCACTCCTGGGAAATGGTACATAATTTCTCTGGAAGAAATTGGGTTGGAGTCAACAAAGTCAAGAGGCAATAGGGCCAGATGGGCACATCATCTCCAATTGTGGAGCATCCTGGACTTTTAAAGATCCAGTAGAGGTTTGAAGCAGGGCAATGTCAGTGAGAGGTATGTCATACTAATTCAAAAAATGTTAATATCTTTTCATAGATTTAAAATGAAGTAACTCATTCAACTGAATGACTTGGACATGATTCAGCTATAAAAATTGTATTACATGAAGATACTGAATATATGTAATTGCTAGGGATATTTTAAGTGAAAAAAGGATAAATTAAAAAGAAATACATATATATTGATCTAATTTTTGTTTAGAATTCATATGGACTGACATCCATCATTCATTCATTCTCTAATGTTCATTGAATCTTAGTATGTGCAAAAAAACTGTTCTTTACTAGGCAAAAATTGAGTAAAACCAAAGTTTTATAAAGGTTTTATTTGAAGGGAGGAATTGAGGGTGATCTTAAACTTTTGACTTGGTATTTCTATGTCTTTTCAACATTTTATGATAAATAGAATCTGGTGATTTTGAAAATATTTTGATCTAAGAAACACATGCTTTGTTTAAATTATGTCTAATGATAAGTTTTAGTATTAGAAGAGTCTTGAACAATTCTGAAAATTTAGATCTTGTGTTCTGAGTCTTTACAATTCACAAATATACAAATCCAATACATGATACAACAAAAATAATAATATCATATATGTAATATAAGGTATAGATAACAAATACAATTTCAAAAGCTGCCTATAAAGAATGATGTAGATAATATTTGATAAGAATTTCTCCAAGTGAGAATAAGTAATAAAAAGTAGTTGGATACCTAAATATTGTTTCAGCCTATAAAACATAGTAGATGTACTTTAATAAGAGTGTGTAACTTAACAAGTAATTTGAACTCTCTCTGCACTTATGTTCCCTGAGTTAGGAAAACAAAGAACTCCCGTAGATTTCAGCTGTGAAATCATGCAATTAAATTAATGTTTTGAAATAACTATGAAGTCATATTTATCTACCAAAATTGAATGTCATTTGAAATAAAGGAATTTAAAATTGAGTATATTGGTAAAAGTTAAATCTGCATTTGCTTTTCAAAGCTGATTAGGGAAAAGACATTTTTCAGAACTTAAAAAATGAACATATTTACAGAGGCAGAATCTAGGTTGGGCTATTTGAAATGTTATTCTCTGAATTGTATTTCATCCAACTATAAAATTTGGTAATGGGAATTATTAAATCTACTATAGCAAATGAATTCATAAGTAAGAGTGAAATCATAAAAATTCTGGGTATATGCTAAATATAATTATTTATGGACATGGATTCTATTCAGACCATTTCTATGCATATATCTGGAAGAGGTAACCAGAATTGCTGCAAAGGTTGAGTTGGGTAAGGAGAGATGTTTGGTAAACAGTATGGGCAGAGGAATAGAACAGGAAATTGATGGTGTGGTTTATCAATCTATAAAGTTTTATTTTATAAGTAATGTATCAGAAAGGTGAGATAATGAATTTGATGTTATTCATTTTATTTACATAATGGGGAAGGATTTGTTTTGAAGGTTTATCCTGCTATTGGCTCACAGGAGCCTAAGGACTTGTACAAAGAAAGTACCAGTTACAACAACAGAATAAATAAACTTAGATGCCATAAAACAAAGAAGAAAGAAAGAGGCTGTAAAGTTGGGTATGACCAAAAACTTGTGAACTGCAGAGAATCAGAAATAACTCTGCAGTTACTTGCTAGGAAATTAAATAAAATGATAGACTCCACTGCTGGTGGAAAGTAGAGTGCAGAGAGGAGGATAAATGGTTTGGTATCCAGGATATTTAACTCCTCTGGCAACAGAAATTTAGTGAGAAATAGCTGACAAGCAAGGCAATAAAAAGTCACAGAATCTTGGAGTGAGTTTTTAGCTGGTAGTTAACTGAGATATGGTGTTGCTAAATAAGAGACTAAATTAATGCCTTTGGCTTTGCAATATCGTGGTTGGTGAAAGCTGTGAAATGGTAAGGAAATTATCATGGGAGGCTTGAAAAATGAAGACTAGTGTTATGTGGTGTTAAAATATTTGATAAAACTGTCATCTGTGGATGATACTTGGAAGAGAGAAAGCATTCCTAATAGTCTTTCAAAATTGATAATGGAGACATCCAGGAAAAATATGATAAACATCATGTAATTTGCTTTCAGCTACATATATGTTTCTTCAAGAAATAAATGAGCTCACAAAGTAACTGGCCAATTTGCAAGTAAAATTTAGAGCAAGTGTTAATAGTCTGGCCAAGTTTCTCATCTCTGGCCTTTCCAGACATCTAAAGATCTTTAAACTAATACAAATCCTATGCAAATGTTACACTCAAGGCTCTGCCAGATAAATTAGGTCTCAGGGTAAAGAAGAAATTCATACTATGGGTATGGGACCCTTTATTCAAACCTTTAAAAAAATTAAGATGGTGTTTATTAAGGCTGTTCACAACACCTAAAATGTCAACTAAGTCTGGAAACAGAGGCACGTCTTGAAAAGAATTATGAATATGGTTTGGCTACAAGAATGGAAGAGAAATCAAAATATACAGGAAACCAGAAAATTATTTGAGAGAGTTGGAGTCATGGAAAATACCAGCCTGGAGTAAAATAAAGGAGACTACATTTTATATTGAAGATATAAAAAGTCCTCTGAGACCCCATTTTGCCAGACAGAAAATAAGCTGAGGAAGTTGCTCCAAGGCATCTTTTCCAGTGCTCTCTTGAGGTTAATAAAAAAGAAAAAGAAGAAAAGAAAATTCTAGAAGGGAAGCCAGGAGCAGTGAAACAAATAAATGGGGACTCCAAGGGAATCCAGATCTGACTCCTTGGATACTATTAAGGAACAGCCCACTCTGCCTACTCCTTGGGACAGGAAGAACTGATGACATTTGCCCAGCAAAATTTCAGAGTTGCTCTGAATCAGGGATTCTATAAAGTTCCCATTTTTCTTCTTTTCTAATGGCAATATGTAATATGGTTATCTCATGTGGGCTCTATCACATAATGGAAAATAAGAAACAAAACTGTCGCCATTCACATCTATTCATTATTTACAGAAAAATCAAGAGATTTTGGAGACAAGTTATAAGTTAATGTGAGGCAAGCAAGCTTGCACTGGATTTAATATAAAATTTAACAAATCATTTTCATTCCTATATGCTATATAATGTAGATACCATTTATTCTAACAGCCAAAAAAAAGGTTGCCTAGGAACCAGTTTAATAAAAATTTGCATAATATCCTTTTGAATGCAACCATTTGGCTTTATTATAAAACATTATGAAATTTAATTAAAATATATGAATTGAATGTTCATATATAGAATGACTGACTTAAAAATGTAAAGATGTCAGTTCTCCCATATTGATCTACACCATATTGTAATGTTGTAAAATTGCTCACTGAATCCATCGGAAGCCATTTTTCATTAAAATTTTGGATGGCAGAGAGTGTTGGCAAGAATCAGGAGAAAAATATTATCACAAATTGTTGGTAATATAAACATATACAAACATTTTGGAGAAGAATTTACATTATCTAAAAAAAAATAAAAATGTATATGATGCACATGTCCTATTAACAAGAAAGCATACCTGAAGGAAACTATTGCTTATACAGGCAAGAAATGTGTATGATAGTCTATAGCATCATTTTTTGGTAAGAGCAAATTGCAAAAAAAAAAAAAATGGTTCTTGTTGTAAGACACCCACCATTTATATAAAATTTAAAATTTGGATACAAAACTAGGAAATGTATACATAGGAAAGTGTGTCTTTGTGTCTGTGTGTGTGTGTGTGTCTGTGTGTGTGTGTGTGTGTGTGTGTGTGTGAGAGAGAGAGAGAGAGAGAGAGAGAGAGAGAGAGAGAATGACAAGAGAATAAAAAGCAAGAGAATAAAATTAAAATTCAGGCAGAATGATGTAGGCTATCATTGGGTTGGCTATACTACACAGGCTTTCAGCTACATCAGTAATGAGTTATTCTTTAACTGCATGGTAGATACGTAGATATTCATTGTATTATGATTTACAAGAGAACATATGCTAGGTTAGCTGAAGTTCCATTAATCTGGTTGTGGATTTTCTTTCCCTTTGGATTGAGGTAAATTTTCATTCCTCAGTTAGCTTCCAGACATCTCTTGGCCAATTGATGTTGCTTATCATTTCAGTAAGAAAATGAAAGCAATCAGAAGAGACTTTGCTAGTCTTCATACTACCAAGCCAGCAGCACCAGCTACTAGGCATCATATCTACAGTTACTTGTGAACAGTCATTTATTTCTTCTTTTCTGAAATCTGACATACAGAAGGTTCTCAAAAAAGATTTGTTGAGTAAATGAAAGAATGACTAAAGTTGAAGTGATAAATGATTCAACAATGCATTATGAACATTATTAGTCACCTGGGAAATATAAATCAAAACCACAATAAAATGCCACTTCACACTCATGAGATGGTTGGGTAACTTCAAAGCAGGCGATAATGAGGAACAGAAAAACGTGGAGAAAATCGAACCCTTACACTTTATAAAATAGTGCCCCCATTAGAGAAAACATTTTAGTAATTCTTT